TCCTTATAAGCCACTATGATTTGATAATAACCCCACCAGTACAATCACTTCTCAAAGCCCCAACTACAAACATTAAAATTGGATTAAGTTCCCACCTTCTTGGTACCACTAACATAGTAGTTTGGGGACCAAGCCTTTTCTGTTCCTCCAACTTCTTTCCTTGACCTCCTGAGGAAGCTACCTTTACCTAAGGACACAAATCTATCTAGCAGCCAAAGCTTACTAATAAATCTTTACTGAAGATCAATTGCAAGCTTAACAACATTATTTGAAGTCTGTTCAGATATTGTAGTGGGCTCACTTTAAATCTGATTGTACTACATGCAATATATTTCTTCTTCCTTTTTTTTAAAAAAAATATTTATTTATTTGAAAGTCAGAGTTACACAGAGAGGAGAGAGAGAGAGAGAGGTCTTCCATCCGATGGTTCACTCCCGAATTGGCTGCAACAGCCGGAGCTGTGCTGATCCAAAGCCAGGAGCCAGGAACTTCTTCCGGGTCTCCCACACAGGTGCAGGGGTCCAAGGGTTTGGGCCATCTTCAACTGTTTCCCAGGCCACAGCAGAGAGCTAGATTGGAAGTGGAGCAGCTGGGTCTCAAACTGGTATCCATATGGGATGCTGGCACTTCAGGCCAGGGCGTTAACCCACTGCACCACAGCGCTGGCCCCTCTTTTTCCTTTCTTAAAGTTAGCATACAATAATCACTGTTCTGTATCTCACTTTTATCATGTCAAAATAAGTTCTGGAGGTCATTCTATGCAAATATACAAATTCTTTAGCTTTACAGCTGCAGAGTACTCCACTGCATAGCTGGAATCTTTTTTATTGACACAATCCCTTATCAACAATCATTAGTTCCCAGGGTTTTGTCACCACAATAATGCTACAATGGTCATTTTGGTTTTTTGTCAGCAAACTTGAAGAAAAAATTAATACATGTAGGATTACTAGGTATATTAGTCAACTTTTCATTACTGTAGTAAAATACCTGAAGGTAAACTAACTTTATAAAGAAAAGGTTTGTTTTGGCTCAGTTTTGGAAGGTCACGGTCCAAGATCAGGGCAAGCCTCATTGTTTTGGCCTCTGGTAACAGCACTCTATCTGGCAGAACCCCAAGCAGCACAGAATATCACATAGCAAGTAACAAGGTGAGTGGCTGTCTCTACCTGTGGGCTCTCATGAAACCCCCAGGGTCCCTCATGCCCTTATCTAACCTTAATCAGTTCCCAAAGGCTCCAGTTACACCATAATTGGATTGCATTTCCACCCTTTTTTAACTTGGGTGTTCAAACTCCTGCATGAATTTGGGAGAATAAATAATATTCAAATCATAGCACTGTGTCAAAGGACAAATGCATATATTGTGGTAGATGTTACTAAATTCCCTTTCACAAAGTTGTAGTTATTTTATATTCACATCAGAAATGTCTCTATTTCCCTACCTCACTAGCAGAAACATTGTCAAATATTTGGACTTCTTATAATTTAAAATGCTGTTAAGAGATTAATATAATTTGAACACAATTTCTCTTGTAAAATTACCAACCTATATTTTTAAGTCACTTTTTAAAAGAACTATCTCTTTTAAACCTTTTGGAATTTTTTCCACTGGGTTATATTTTGGAGATTGAGTCTTAAGAATTCTCCATAGGGGCCAGCGCTGTGGCGCAGCAGGTTTAAGCCCTGGCCTGAAGCGCCGGCATCCCATATGGGCGCCGCTTCTAGTTCCAGCTGCTCCATTTCCCACCCAGCTCTCTGCTATGGCCTGGGAAAGTAGTAGAAGATGGCCCAAGTCCTTGGGCCCCTGCACCTGCATGGGAGACACAGAAGTTCCTGGCTCCTGGCTTCGGATCGGCGCAGCTCCGGCCGTTGCGGCCAATTGGGGAGTGAACCAGTGGATGGAAGACCTCTCTCTGTCTCTACCTCTAACTCTTTCAAATAAATAAAATAAATGTTAAAAAAAAAGTTCTCCATATATTCTAAATCCTTTGTTTTATGTATTATATTTTCCTCCTAGTCCACTGCCTAACTTTTTAGACTGATTTCCTTTGTACTACATTCCATAAAAAATTAAAAATCTTTGAGGTCCAGATTGTGGCATAACAGGTAGAGCAGTTACCTATGACACCAGCATCCCCTATGGCCACCAGTTTTTGTCCCAGCTGCTCTTTTTTTTTTTTTTTTTTCTAATTATTTATTTGAAAAGCAGAGTTAGAGTGAGGAAGAGACAGAGAGAATCTTCTATCCACTGGTTCACTCCTCAATGGCTGCTCCAGCCCAAAGCCAGGAGCCAGGAGCTTCTTCCGGGTCTCCCAAGTGGGTGCAGGGGCTTAAGCACCTGGGCCAACCTCCACTGCCTTCCCAGGCACATTAGCAGGGAGTTGGATTGGAAGTGGAGACGCTGTAACTCAAATTGGCACCTATATGGGATATTAGCTTCACAGGCCCCCTGGCTGCTCCACTTCTGATATGGCTCCCTGCTAGTGGCCTGGGAAAAGGAGTCAGATAGCCAAGTGTTTGGATCCCTGCCATCTAAGTAGAAGACCCGGATAAAGCTCTGAGCTTCCGCCTGCCGCAGCCCCAGCCATTGCAGCCATCTGGAAAGTGAACCAACAGATGAAGATCTCTCCCTCTTTCTCTGTAACTCTTCCAAATAAATAAATCTTAAAAAAACAAAGTTTTTTGTTGGATATAAATGTACAGGTTTGAGGAAAATTCACATAGTTTTGCATTGTTTCTTTCTATTCATAAACATGTTAGCACTCCCCGTTTATTTTTCTGTCATTATAATATTTTCTCAGTGAGAATTTTTTAATTGATCCCACTCAGTACTTGATGTGCATGCTTGATTTTAAGTGCCATGTTTTTCTGTAATTTTAGAAAACTCTCAGCTCTTTCTCTTCAAATATTGCTTTCCACTCCCTTCTGTGATTTTAATTTCTCTCTCCAGGTATCCTATTAAAGAGATGTTGGATAGTAACAATCTACTTTTTATACCTCCATAATACTTTTTAGTACTTTTCAACTCTGTGAGGGTTTCTGGGTAATTTTCTCAAATGTATCTATTAGTTTATTAGTTTTCTCCTCAATTGTATCTCTGCATTTCTAAAAGTTCAATCCTGTTCTTTTTTACATCAAGTTTTTTTTAAAATTTTAAATCATGCTGGCCTATTATTCAATATAAGCTATTTCTTGTAAACACATTAAGATATCTTTTGGATTGATCCACTACTTCCAGTTCTTGCTGTACAGATTCTATTTGTTTCATCTGTTTATTCTTCTCATCTCTTTTCATTTCATCTTTTGCTTTTAATTGAGATCTTATCTTCAATCAGGCTCTTTTCTACTTTTTTGCTGAAAGACTGTTTCATATTCTTCGAGCTATTCCTGACAACTAAGATCAGACAAATGAAGTTCTTGGACTTACGTAGGTTATTAACTCATAAACAGAGCCATAATCTTCCACAGACCCAAGCTACCAACTCTTGTACCTGCAACAGGAAGAGTCAGGGATCAACTCTTGAGCATTGGTCTTAAATCCCTTTGCTGATCTGGCATCAATATACACTCACCACTCTGGCTTTGATATCTTGAAACTGAGCATTTCCCCACTGTTCTTTTAACCTTAGTTATATACTAGAAATATTTTTTCATTACACACAGAAGGAAATCTTTGATGTTTCCATTAGAAAGATACCCACTCTGAATGCAGTAACTTAGCCACTCATGTTGCCAGAAGTCCTTAATTACAGTGTCTATTAAGAACAGTCACAGGCTGGTGCTGTGGCGTATAGGGTAAAGCTGCCACCTGCAGTGCCAGCATCCCATATGGGCACCAGTTCAAGTCCCATGCTCCACTTCCAACCCAGTTCTAAAGTGCTTTATCCTTTCCAGCAGTGGAAGATGGCCCAAGTTCTTGGGCCCCTGCCATCTGCATGGGAGACCCAGAAGAAGCTCCTGGCTCCTGGCTTTGGATTGGCCCAGCTCTGGCCTTTGCGGCCATTTGGGGAGTGAACCAGTGAATGGAAGACTCTCTCTCTCTCTCTCTCTCTCTCAGTCTATGTCTCTCTTTGCCTCTCTGTTAACTCTGCCTTTCAAATAAATAAATAAATCTTGAAAAAAAAAAAGTGGTTAAGTTTTACTAGATAATCTTTCAGAACCTATTGATAACACATAAGCTTTTCTCCTTTAAGCTGCTAATGTAATTCATACCGATAAATTTCCTGACAATGAAATCCTTAGGAAAACACTATTTGATGACTAAAAGCTTTAAAGCAGCTGAAAGGCTCTTATCATAAATAAAACATACATTCTTTTCTTGATAGAGAAAGAACAATTTGACTATACTTAATATCCATTCATGGCATGAAAAATCTTCAAAAAGTTCATAGAAAAACTATGCATGAATTTCAAAATTATTTACAAACTTATTATTTACAAACTTATTTCTTAATCCTATTTCCCACAGTTTTTGAAGTCCTTTCATTCCACATCTTAACACATGAAAAATATGCACATGGCTTTCATCTGATAATGAGGATATACCCAAAACCTAAGCAGCAGATAGTTAATGACAAAAACCAGAAACATGCTCTTTAAAGCTAAAATTAACTATCTGCTATATTTTGCCAGTAAATACCCAATACTTTTCCAAATTCATGCCTTATCTCTGGAAATCTCACCCTTTGGAAGGAATCACAGTTCCTTCTATTCCTCCAGAAATGATAAAGTTTATGTATTCTCTCCCAGAAAAATGTTACACAAAAACACAAAATCTAATGTACGATATCATAATATTCACTACCTCTATTCTACAAGAAGAATTCAGAAATGCCCACCCTACAGATAGACCAGCATACAAATGCTCAAGCATATTAATGGAGGAAGGATAAGCAAATAAACAAGCAAGCAAATACATAACAAAGCAGGTGTTGATGAAGGAATCAATATTTGCCTATGAAAATTCAACCGAAAGAATGAAGACTTGAGACATCAAATATATTTGGATTTTAGGTATTTATTTACAAAGTTCTTACTAATATAACTGCTTTTAAAATATAGCAAAAAAGGGGTTATATACTAATCTCTGAAGTGGTACATAGATAGCATAGAAAAACTTCTTGGTCAATTAAACAATTAAAGCAGATGACTACAAATTGTTATGTGATAATTAAACATTTGCCTTACTCCCAAACATATAGGAAATAAAAAATGCATTTATTCATAGGAACTTGATTATTTTGTATTCCTGACTATCAAAAAACAAAGACTATTGTAAAAGATGACATCAGGCTTTGAAAAATATTTTATAACAGCAAATAAATTTTCAGTTTTAAATGTAATTATAAGACCACAATAAAATGTTGACCATATACACATCTATGTATTTCACAGCAGATTAGTAAAACTAATGGTAACTTTAGAATTAGTTCATAAAAAATATAAACAGTCTTTACTACAATTTTCCCATGGTCTTATCTTTCAAAATAAAATTTCACACACTATCAAACTAAATCAAGATTTGCTAGTGGCTAAAATTACCATAAATATTTGTCTCTGAACCAGCTACAAGTATTTACCAGTAACTTGCTTTCACAAAATACAATATTTTTTAATCTTTGTTATTGTCTCAATTTGCAAAGTATTTTCAAGCAATCCCCTTTAAGTGTTCTTATTAATAAGGGAAAATCATTTATAATCCACATGCTAGAACTTGAAAACATCTGAGAAGAAAATAAACTGCAAGAGCAGTAAATAAACAGTCCATGTGATACAAGATCCACTACTTCATCAGGAATCTATGCAGGTTTTTATCCAGTAAGCACTGTAGTATTATTTAATTTCTGTACAAATTGAGATTCACAAATATGTATTTCCACAAATTCATTCATGGGTACTATACAAATAGATTTACAGCAGTATTTGGTACCCATCAATAAAATTTATTTACTGTGTCAGGATTGCAAAGCTACTGATATCATGAATAACTTAAATTATTGGTCTTTGAATGAGGAATTCAAAGAGATAAATTACATCAAAATCAATATAACTTTTTTACATGCATTAACTTGAAAACTGTTAAGACATAAACTTTACTCTTTCAAGAGGAAAATCAAATGTATACTTTAGTGTTAAACATCTTCTCTCCAGCTTTCCCCAAGTGCTAATTACAAGTACCATTTAAGTCAGTTTCTCTTTCGAGTATGAAATGTTAATACATTTCTGTAATTTAAGATTTTTTTAAAGCTTCATATCAAATGAGTTGTAGATCTGCTTAAGGTATGACTTCTCCTCTCAAAGAAGGAAGGAAGGCTGACAAGGGAAGGAGACGGGATACCCTGCAAAGATAAAACAATATTTCATGTTTAAATTTTTTAAGAGATTCTATAGTTCATCATCAAGCCTATTATGTCTACATTTAATAAGTTATAATAAAAATTAGGTAAAAGGCACTTGAACTTGAAATTTTAAATCCTTTAAATAAAAGAATTTTTTAAAAAGGGAGGAGAATGGGGCAAAAACATAGTGAGAATTATTTAGCATTCTAAAAACACAAACCAAATGGCTGGAGTAGTTAACTAGATGTTAATTCAATTGGGACAGATCCTGGCTTACAGGGATTAGTGACCTAACCTTCTTCTGCAAAATATTAATGATTCAGTGTTTCAGGTTATTTAAAAATAATTATAAATTAGTAAGCAAATTTGTGAGATAAAAAGACCAACCCTTCAGGCTGGCATTATGGCACAGCAGGTAAGTCACTGCCTGTGATGCCAGCATCCCATACGGGAGTCAACCCTGGCCACTGCAGCCATTTGGGGAGTGAACCAGCAGATGGAGGATATCTTTCTCTCTCTCCCTTTCTCTCTGTCACTGTGCTTTTCAAATTAAAAAAAAAAAATGCTTTAAAAAAAAATCAGGAGGCTTGAATTTGAGAAACCTCTCTGTGTAACTCTTTCCAAAAAAAAAATATAGGGACAGCTCTGTGGCATGGTAGGCTACACCATCATCTGAAGTGCCAGCATCCTATGTGGGCACTGATTTGTGTACTGGCTGTTCCACTGCTGATCCAGCTCTCTGCTAATGAGGCTGGGAAGGCAGTGGAGGATGGCCTAAGTGTTTGGGAGAACCAGAAGAAACTTCTGGCTCCTGGCTTCGCCTTGGCCTAGCTCTGGCCATTGCGGCCATCAGGGAAGCAAACCAACAAATGGAAGACCCCCCACTTCTCTCATCCCTCTCTCTATGTAATTCTGCCTTTCAAATAACTAAAATCTGAAAAATAAGCAAATAAATATATATATGCAAGTACATCTTACAAAATATACGAATAAATCTTAAAAAATAACTAATTTAATGATATTTTATGGGGCCGGTATTGTGGCGTTAACAGGTTAACCAGAGGATGGAAGCTTTCTGTCTCCTGCCCCACCTCTGCCCTGTCTAATTTCACCTTTCAAATTTTAAAAAATGATATTTTCTTAAATAAGAAAATTTCTAATGCATCTTTTCTTTTTCTAAAATTAAGACTAAATTACCTTACAAAAATATTACGAGGCAATATTCAAAGAAATTCTTTTAAGCCTAAATTGTTGTAAATTTAACACAGTAATAAAATTGTGAATCCTAAAGTCCCCATCCACCCAATAAGTAATTCAGGGGAGAAAGAATACTTTTGCTTTTCAAGAAACACAAATTTCAAATAGCTAATAAGCTCACATTAAATTTCACGAGGCTTGTTTCCATTATTGCTCAGCATATCTCCTAATTCTTCACAAATGTCAAAGATGACTTGGGTAGAACTTTTTTGAAATTTGAAAATCAATATTTCCTTCTAGTATCTCTGAAAAACTAGCTCGGGAGGCAGAATGATGTATAGATCGAAACCAGGAGTAATGAGAGCGCCCACGAGTAGAGTTTGAGCGCTGAACATAAACATGCTTAGTAAATCCAATTATATTGGTTGTGGAAACAGAATGGGTAATCTGTTAGAACAGAAACAAGCAATTGAGAAGACATGAATGTCTTTAAGCTATTTTACATACTTTTCTTATGTATACTATCAACATAAAAAATGGTATAACCACAAATATATTATTCTTCAAAAATGTTTTTATAAATTCATTTACCTTCATTTGAAAGGCAATACTTAAAATAGTTATCATAAATGCAAAAAAAAAAAAAACAGAGATAGTATTTAGGCCTCAAGAACACTTATAATCCAATTTTAATAAATGAATGCTTATCTGCATTTTGTCAATTTTAATTATTTTTGCATATATTTCTGCTGCCAACTAAACACAACTTTTCTACCATTGGTTAAGGTTAATCTTTATCAAAAATCTGTATAATATAGTTTTAGCCATAACTTTGAAGTGTTAACTAAAGACTTAAAGCTTTTTAAAAAATACTTGAGGATTAAAAGCTTTCCTATACATTTATATATTATACATTTTTCATTTAAAAATGGTAGCCAGGTAATGTTCTAAACACTTTATATATATTAAATTACTTAATTCTTACAATTTTAGTTTTATTTTACAGACACAAAAATTAAAAAATCTTTAATAATTTGTGGAAAGTTATATGGTTATTAAGTAGCAGATTAAGGATCTGAACATTCCAGTTCCAGAATTAATCATTACACAAATTGCCTTTAAGTTTATAATCATATCATTCACATCATACGCATATACAAGATTTTTCTTTACAAACACACACAAACACACAGGAGGGTACTTCAAAAAATTTGTGGAAAGTAGAATTAAAAGTTTGAGTTTATTTTGATGACAAAATCTTTTGGGGGCCAGCATTGTGATGTAGTGGGTAAAGCTGTTGCTGCCCATGATGCAGGCATCCATCCCTTATGGGTGCTAGTTGAAGTCTCAGCTGTTCCACTTCTAACCCAGCTCTCTGCTAATCCACCTGGGAAAGCAGTAGAAGATGGCCCAAGTGCTTGGGACCCTGCACTCACATGGAAGACCTAGAAGAAGCTGCTGGCTCCTGGCTTTGGCCTGGTCCAGCTCTAGTGAACCAGCAGATGGAAGACCTCTCTCTTTCTCTCTCTCTCCAATTCTGCCTTTCAAATAAATACATCTTCAAAAAATGTTTTTCATAATATACGGGGAAAGGGCATTATGAAAAAAACGCATACTTTTAATTTCATTTTTCCACAAACTTTTTGAACTGCCCTCATATTTCTTTACAATACCATGAAGTAAGTACTACTGACCTCTTATTTCACCTACAAAAATGCTGATAAGAGTAAGAAACTTGCTAAGCTAAGAAGTGATAGTCAATTGCTTTTATTAACCTCAGTAGGTTAGGTTAATAATTGTACAAAGAACTCGGATACTTAATGGCAGTAATACATATTAGAAATGCCCTTCATAGTAATTACATATTTAATAATTCATTTATTGTGAGAACTTGGAATATTTAGAAAAAATTTAAAAATATATACACAAATTTAAAACCTGTATCATCTGAAATTCAGCTTCAGAGATTATATTTTACTCATCACAGAAATAGCAAAAGGAATCAAACTTAGTCTCTGCTATTATTAGAATCAATCTATATAAACAGAATTATAACTATTCACACTAGTAAAGTGACAAGTCACATTGAAACATGTTTCTCTTTTAGAGATCTTAAAACACTATAATCTCTTGGCCGGCACCATGACTCACTAGGTTAATCCTCCGCCTGTGGTACCAGCACCCCAGGTTCTAGTCCCAGTTGGGGTGCCCGATTCTGTCACAGTTGCTCCTCTTCTAGTCCAGCTCTCTGCTGTGGCCTGTGAAGGCAGTGGAGGATGACCCAAGTACTTGGGCCCTGCACCCGCATGGGAGACCAGGAGAAGCACCTGGCTCCTGGCTTCGGATCAGCGCGGTACACCGGCCACAGCAGCCATTGAGGGGTGAACCAATGGAAAAAGGAAGACCTTTCTCTCTGTCTCTCTCTCTCACTGTCCACTCTGCCTGTACAAAAACAACAACAACAACAACAACTATAATCTCAATAAAGTTCCATACTGAATATCTCTAGTTCATTAATTATGAAGCTTTTCTCAACTGGCCTTTCTCAATTGGCCTTTACCCAATAAGAGCTAAAAGTTTAGGGGCCAGCGCTGTGTAGCAGGAAAAGCTACCAGCTGCATTGCCAGCATCCCATATGGGCAGCGATTTGAGTCCCACCTGCTCCACTTCCAATCCAGCTCTCTGCTATGGTCTGGGAAAGCAGTGGAAGATGGCCCAAGTGCTTGGGCCCCTGCAACCATGCAGGAGACCCAGAAGGAGCTCCTGGCTCCTGGCTTCAGATGGGCCTCGCTCCGGCCACTGCAGCCATTTAGGGAGTGAAACAGCGGGTGGAAGACCCCTCTCACTCTGCCTCTGCCTCTCTGTATCTCTGTCTTTCAAATAAATAAGTAAATAAATCTTCAAAAAAAAAAAGTAAAAAGTTTAGAGAAACATCAAAATGGAGACATTAAAATTTCCATTTAAACAAAATTAATAAATTCTCTACCAACTGCATGAATAAGTCAAGTAGTCCAATGAATCAAAATCACTTACTGCTAATGATGATGTGCTAGACAGACGACTCACTACATGCTTATCACTGCTGGTAGGGCTTCTTCCCTCCGCTGAGTTGTGGGATGTCATAAGAGCCATTCGGAAAGCTCTTTTTGGAGTTTTAGAGAAAGAGAATGCTCTGGTAACCTAGAGTTAAAAGAGTTGCCAATGGTTAAGCCTAGACAAAATTAATACAGCTGAGAAGAATGTTTATATATAAAGAAAAAACAGCGAAGGAACATCAAAATTTTTCTGCAAATAACATATGGCAAAATTAGAATTTCTTGGGCATAAAGCAGTAAGAAAATGCAGTACATTATAGACTGTTTTACTATACAGCCAAAAAAAGAAAGGTAAGAGGAGAAACACCTAGTCTGGAAGAGAAGAAATCTGGATTCTTGTCTGATTCCATCATCATTTAGTTATAAAATCTTTAATCTAAAACCACTGAACCTCAATGTCTTTATTGAAAGACTGAAAAGTTCATTTAAATCATCACTTAATATGTTCATCTATTATACATCATATGTGTTAAATGATGGGAGACACAAAGATATTGCAAGCCTTCTCCTTCAAAGGGAAAAAGAAAACACCTGGTAAATTTAAGATGACTATCTAATTGCAAATTGCCTTTGGAACCCTGAAAGTCTAGTTCTACTTTTATTACCAACATACTTATTTATTCACCAATAACTCTGATAAATGAAGAAATTATCTTCATCATGCAAAGAACAAAACACACTTTTAAGAGTCAGGAATAGATCCCTGGTCATCTGACTCTGTTGTATATTCTTTGCTCAAAAAATATCTGGAGGCAATATTTAGATAAATGCACACATATCTAGATAAACACTAACAGTCATTTCTACTGAAGTATACAGCTCACAGAGTATCACTATAATAAGAGTGGAATCAATAACAAGTTACCATAATCACTGTGGCAAAGAAGTCAACTAAAATTACTGTCTCTGTGAGTCATTTTCTAAAACAGAACAACTCTGTTGTATGGACTATTTTTATGATCCTTATGGCAATGCTATTTTAATATAATTTGAAAAATATATTTTAGATATAGGTCAAATAACTTCTCCAAAGCTCACCTTTTTGGAAGTTTTTTTTATTGCTCTAGATGCTCTACTCAATGTACTGTCCATATCTTTTGTATTTACTTCAAAGGATTCTGGATCCACAGTATACATAAGATTCTCCTGTCAAAAAATAACATTTTTTTATTTTAAAATTTAAAAACACAAACTGTAAAATCAAATCATTTTTTTTTTTTTTTTTTTTTTTACAGGCAGAGTGGACAGTGAGAGACAGACAGAGAGAAAGGTCTTCCTTTTGCCGTTGGTTCACCCTCCAATGGCCGCAGCGCATCGGCCAGCGCGTCGCGCTGATCCAAAGCCAGAAGCCAGGTGCTTTTCCTGGTCTCCCATGGGGTACAGGGCTCAAGGACTTGGGCCATCCTCCACTGCACTCCCGGACCATAGCAGAGAGCTGGCCTGGAAGAGGGGCAACCGGGACAGAATCCGGCGCCCCGACCGGGACTAGAACCCGGGTTGCCAGCGCCGCAAAGTGGAGGATTAGACTATTGAGCCACGGCGCCAGCAAAATCAAATCTTAAGTACATGCTTACATATGGCAGTATTAATACATGAAGCTACTCAAGATGTTTGATTTGTTTAACATGATTTCTACTCTGAAATATACCAAATTAATGATAGTGGAAAGTAAGCATTCAATAAATGAATAATGCATGACACGGACCATGGATATCAAAGCAACTGGAAACAGACAGCAATATAATATCTTCCAACTTTGAAATTCAACAAACAATACTGAAAAAGTCTGGTAGAAAAACAGTAACACAAACTCTTTTCTTTAAGATCTTTCCCTTTCTTCCTCAATTAGCACCCGGAAGGATTCTAAATCAGATTCCAAACCTGTGAACAAGAGCTCACACAGTTACAAGGATTAGAAATCAGGGAGTACGCAACTTACTTGAAACTGCATGTAAACTTTGTATGTACATGAGCAACATGTGCTTTTCTGAGGAGAAATTTCACAGCTTGAATCACACCCCCAAAGATCAAAGTTGGCTAAGAACCACTAACCAGGGGCCGGCGCCATGGTGCAGAGGGTTAAAGCCCTGGCTTGAAGCGCTGGCATCCCACATGGGCGCCAGTTCTAGTCCCAGCTGCTCCTCTTCCAATCCAGCTCTCTGCTATGGCCTGGGATAGCAGTAAAAGATGGCCGCAAGCCCTTGGGCCCCTGCACCCACGTGGGAAACCTAGAACCTCCTGGCTCCTGGCTTCAGATTGGCACAACTCTGGCCATTGTGGCCAACTGGGGAGTGAACCAGTGGATGAAAGACCTCTCTCTCTCTCTCTCTCACTCTGTCTCTACCTCTCTCTGTAACTCTTTCAAATAAATAAAATAAATTAAAAACAAAAAAGAACCACTAACCAAAATTAACCTTAAAGAAGACAACTAATACCCAAATAACTCAAAATACTACCTGCTCAAATTATGTTTGGGCTTTCAGAGGAAAGCAAGTTGGACAAAATGTTCACATATAGCCCTCTTACAATTTTCACTTCAAGTTTGTAAATCTAGACTATAAATTAGTAAATGGCCTCATTACTTTATTACTACATGAATATCCTCTAGCACCATCATTCTGGGCCACAGAAAATTTTATTGAACTTTATGAAGGATGTTTCTATTGTAAGGGTATAATATTATAAGTAATTATAAGGTTAAAGGAAGATAATACACACAAGTACTTTGAAATAAAATGTTAATTAAGTTTCTTTACAAACAAGATGTTATATATTATACTGTACAATTGTAAGTGCTGCTTTAGCTCTCCATCACTAACATCCATCAGACAACTGTGTATTCATCCAAAAGAATGTCAAGAAACCATCTGCACTAACTGCCTGCATTCCATTTTGGACTACATGGGATCAAATCTTACCTCTGCTTTCAATCCACCTGCCAGCTAATGTGGTTGAGAGGCAGAAAATGGCCCAAGTACTTGGGTTCCTGCCACCCATATGGGATACCCAGATGGAGTTCTGGGCTAAGCTGTTACAGGCATTTGAGGAGTGAAGCCACAGATGGAGCATCTTTCCCTCTCTGTTACTCTGCCTTTCAAATAAATTAATTTAAAAAAAATTTAACTAACAAATTAATTTAGAAGATTTCTACCTGGGTTGAGTCCCAGTTACTCCATGGTGATCCACCTTCCTTCTACTGTGCCAAGGAGGCAGCAGATGATGACCCAAGTACTTGGGTTTCTGTCACCCACATGGGAGAACCAGCGAGTTCCTGGCTCCTGTATTCAGCCTAGTCTATCCCTGGCTATTGCAGTTATTTGGGGAGTGAACCTATCAGATAGAAGTTGTATCTCTGGGGCCAGCACTGTGGCATATTAGGCTGTTCCTCCACCTGCAGCGCCAGCATCACATTTGGATACTAGTGCATGTCCCAGCTGCTCCTTTTCTGATCCAGCTCTCTGCCTATGGCCTGGGAGAGCAGCAGAGGATGGCCAAAGTGCTTGGATCCTGCACCCACATGGGAAACCTGGAATAAGCTCCTGGTTCCTGACTTCGGATTGGGCCAGCTCCATCCATTGCAGCCATTTGGGGAGTGAACCAGCGGATGAAAGACTTTTCTCTATGTCTCTCAATGTCTCTGTAACTCTGCCTCTCAAATAAATAAACAAATCTTAAAAAAAAAAAAAAAGTTGTCTACTTATATTTTGGCATATTTCTTACATATTTTTTCTACATGTGTAAGTTTTATAACAAAATTGGAATAATGCTATTCAGTTTTATATGTTACCTTTTCAATTTTCTATATACTGCATTTTTCCTTGTCATTAAGTACTCATAACAGCTAAAAAGTCTTTTCTGATAACACCTTAATTTTATCATTCTATTATTTTAGAACATTTTAAGTGGGATATTGGTGAATTATTGACCTTCAAAAAGTTTATGGAAAATGGAATTATAAGTTTATTTTAGTGTACAACACTTTGAAATCATTCATAATTTTATCATACTATGTATCTTCTATAACTTTTCAAAGTACTCTCATATAATAGGTACAGAGTCCCAGTTTTAGGGAGATAAAAAGGTTCTAGAGATGAATGGTCATAACACAGCAAAACAATATGAATATACTTAATGTTACTCAACTGTACACCCACCTAAAAATTTAAAACTGTAAATTTTTTATATACATTTTACACAAAAGAAAGCAAAGTAAATATTTTTGCACGTAAAAATTTTGAACATTATTCTAGTGTTTTTCTAAGCTAGAACAATAAAAGTGCACAAAAAGAATGTGTGTGAACATTTTCAGAGTTCATGGTATATAAACTGATTTCCAAACAGGGTATACTGGAGCGGGCACTGTGGCACAGCAGGTTAAGATGTCATCTGGGACACCTGTATCCCATACAAGAGTGCCTGGGTCAAGTCCCAGCTATTCTATGCTTCCCATTCAGCTAGCTGCTATTGTGCCTGGGAGGCAGAGGATCACAGCTCAAATATTTTGAGTCCTTGCCACACACAATAGAGACCTAGATGGAGTTTGGGTCCCTAGCGCCAGCCTGCTCAAGCCCTAGCTATGAAGAACAAAATAGCAGATGGAAGACAGATGGAAGACTGCTTCTCCCTCTCTATGTCACTCTGCTTGCGGTTTTGGGATTTTTTTTTTCAGCATTCAAGAGAAAATTTTTTCAATTTATTTTAACTGATAAACAATTATATATATATAAGGAGTACAAGGTGATGTTTCAATACATGTACACGTTGTGAAATTATCAAATTACGGATAAAAAGGATATACTGTTTCAATATATATTCTCACTGAGAGAACAGAAAAAGAAAAGGTTCTACCTTGCCTTATCAGTCCTTGAGATTGTCCTTCAACTATTTTAGGGGCCAGCAGGTGTAGAGGCACAGTAGGTTAAGTCACTGCCCACAACGCTGGCAACACATATTGGAGCACTCGTTTGACTCCTGGATGCTCTGCTTCTGGGGCAATTCCCTACTAATGCGCCTAGGAAAGAGCTTCTCAATTTTCTTATTGTTGATTTTTAACTACTATAATCTTAGTTTGCTTTTAATAACTTGTAACAAATGATCTAAAACTAATTATCTAAAATATAAACTACTAATGAGGAGGTTTATTTTGACTCATGGGTTCACAGTCATAGACTGGGTGGCCCTGATAGTTGGGCAGTATTGGTTAGGCATCAGATGAGGCAATGGCAGACTGTGTGTAGAAAATAATCACATGGCAAGAAAACAGACAGGTCTCCCTAGAAAGTTGGTGATAAAAGCTTGAATTAAACCTATCTTCCAAAGATACACCCACGATGACCTGAGGAGCCCATCTCCTAAACCCAATAACTGGATAAATGTTTCCAACCTCCTAGTACCATTAACATAAGACTTTGAGGTTTAAAGTTTAAATGTCTACCATTAGTTGAGCAGCCATACCTATTCAAACCAAGGCAATTACTAAGCATATAATAACCACCCATGAAATAAAAAGGGACGAGATGGCTATCAATGTTTTCTCTCAATGAAGATAAGGTCTTTTACATTCCTAGCAGTTCTGAGTTCAGAATGATTGATAGGGTAAACATCTAGGTAGCTCACTAATATAGTAGTTAGGATGACAGCACAGCTGCTTGCTAAGCTATCAAGACCTATTTCTTTTCTTTCTCTGCAGAGGGAAAGGTAAATAAGGTAGATCACAGGCAAATGTGCAAAATGGGGGAACTTAATTTCAGTAATCCTATTTCATTACTCTCTCACAAATTCCCATTCTCTCTTGCAAATAAAAAAAAAAACTCTTTTTAATCTTTCTCTAAATAATCTTTCTCAGAACGGGCCATCAAAGAAGGAAGTACCTTTTTCTAAAGGGAGGACAGAACTTCCACTTTGATTATGGCCTTGTCTAAACAGGGTCAGAGTTGGTGAACTCAAGAGGCTTCCATAGCCTTGGCAGCTCATGACAAGAGCCTGGGATGATTACTGATCATAAATAAGAGTGTCAACTGTTAATCAACAACGGGGGTGTCTGTCTTTAATGTGCTGTACTATGCGAATTAACGGTAAAACTGGTCTTCAAATAGTACTTTACACTGTGTCTGTGTGGGTGCAAGCTGTTGAAATCTTTACTACTT